CTTATCCAGTACTTGTCCAGTACTTATCCAGTACTTGTCCAGTACTTGTCCAGTACTTGTCCAGTACTTATCCAGTACTTGTCCAGTACTTGTCCAGTACTTATCCAGTACTTGTCCAGTACTTGTCCAGTACTTATCCAGTACTTATCCAGTACTTGTCCAGTACTTATCCAGTACTTGTCCAGTACTTATCCAGTACTTGTCCAGTACTTATCCGGTACTTGCCTGGTATTCACCTGGTACATACTCAGTACACACCTGGTACTTATCTAGTACTTACCTCAATATTTATCTGGTACACACCTGGTATTTACCTGGTTAAAACTGATTTTATTTGCTGTTTAACTAAAACTTACTACTTACTTACTTTGTATTTACTTGGTACTTACCTCCCCATTTACCTGGTTTTTAACTGGTACTTACTTTTGCATTTACATTGTACTTACCTGGTACTTACCTAGTATTTACCTGTTTCTTACCTGGTACTTACCTAGTATTAACCTGTTTCTTACCTGGTACTCTAAGTACTGGTTTTGCTGCCTTAATTGTTTCAAATAATTTTTTTTAATGAGTTGTTTGTGTTTTTACAGAGATTGAAGGTTTCAGTTGGACCTTCTGTTTTTCTGATCCAACCCGATTTAATCGAAGTCGGAACATTTAAATCTTCGACCCAGCTTCGGTTCTGTGGTTTTCACAGTAAATAAAAAACAAAGTTCAGGAAACTCTGAAGAAGCTTTTCAATAAAAGCAGGAAGTGTTGAGCAGGAAAAGCACGGTAGTTTATTTTGAAGGAAACGCTCGGCTGCTCCTCCGAACAAAACCAGCTGCAGGATCCGTTTTCATCACTCCGGTCCTGATGATGGACTCGGTCCTGGTCTCTGTGATCCTCCTCGCTCTCAGCGGTGAGTCTTTAACAAACTTTTAAAAATCAAACTTTTCTTCAAGAGCTGCTTCAACCAACCGGAGTGAAAAACACAACTTTAAAGTTACTGTTTTAATTAAAACGCAACAAATAACTAAATAATTGTAGTTTTTGTTAAATGTTTAATCAGATTTTGTCTCGTACTGTTAAAGTTTACCATCATTCATCATTTTGGCTTCTTTGTTTGTTTGTTTGTTTGTTTGTTTACTGCCGGCTGACGAAAGGCAGGTGATAATTTTCACCCCATTTCCTGCCTGAAAAACGAGCGATCTAAATTGTTTTAAGGAATTCTAAGTCTTTAATAGTTCGTTAACCCTCCTGCTGCCCTTGGATCAAAATTACCCAAGAGGCCTCAGTTTTAAAATTGTTGCCTCATGAGCGAGTTTGACCCAAGGGCTGCAGGAGGGTTAACGAACGGCTGAGTCTGTGTCTTTAGCTTGTTTGTTTTCTTGTTTATTCTTGTTTACACAACACTCCTGTCCTCATCTAACGGCTTTTGTCTTCGGCTTCCTGTCTCCAGGTGTCCAGCAGCCCTCGGCCGCCCCGCCGGCGCCCACGGTCCACGTGAGAGCGGGTGAGGACGCCACGCTGCAGTGCCCCCTGCTGGATGGCTCAAACATCACCGCGGTGGACCCCCCGGCGGGCCCGTCCACCGTCAGCTGGTACAGGAAGGCAGCGGGTCAGGGGCCGGAGCTGCTCGTCAGCTTCAGTTCTGCAAACGGTTCTGTCCGGTACGGAGGCGGCGTCGGTCCGGATAAAGTCTCGGCGGCAGCTGATGGTGCTCTGCTGCTCCGAGGCTCCGACCGGAGCGACTCGGCGGTTTATTACTGCGGGCTCAGCCACAGGTCCGAGCAGAACCGAGAACCAGAACAAGGGAACCGCTCTGGGAATTAAAGCTGAAGGGCAAAACGACGGCCCGCGGGCCAGACGTGGACCTGGGACCTTCAAAACCCGGCCGCCAAGAACCACAAAACAATTCGTAATAAAATATTCAAACCATTTTTTAATCAAAAACATCTAAAGTCGTGAAAACAAAAGTTGTTTGTATTTATTTTCAGCTTTTAGAAAAAGTTTTGTTGAGTGTCTGGTTTGTTGGTCATCTTGAACCAGAACTTCCTGCTTTGGTTTCGGCTCATTTTGATTATTTGTGGGTTCAATAAATCAAAGTTTGATTCATAAACAGGTTTGGTTTGTTTTTTGCCCTCATGCCTGTTAATAAATTAATAAATGAAACTGCAGTCACGAGACCGCTCATAAACAAAACCTGCTTCAATTAAAAACCTTTAGCCAAAGTTTGTTACGGGGCACCAACTACTTCGGCTGTTTGTTTACCTGTGGAAACAGCCGAAGTGGCTGAAAACAGGTTCAACTTCCTGGTTGTTGCACAGCCTCATGGGTCAAGCTTCCACGTCTTTTCATTCATCTGAGGACTTTGTTTACGCCGAACGCGTACCCGCGTTCCACTGCTGTTGGTGAACACCTGGACTCACTTCAAGTCCTTTCAAAACCAAAGACCGGGTCCAAAGTCCTGTTGGTACCAATGGGTTCGAATCAACAGAACAGCTTGTTGCTGGCTTCACCCTCCTGCTGCCTTTAGCTTATTAATTTATTACAACATTTTTAACTTGTTTTTGTCTCTCGTGTTAGCAAAATATCCAGCAAAGAAAGAAAATTTGACGAGAGAAATCGAATTTTCTGTAACAATTTGATCGGTATTGTTTATTTTTTATATTTTCGGCTTGTGTTTGAGACAATCTGAAGCCAACTCCAGTACAACAGTAGCTAAAACCATAAGTAGCAAAACAGTGACCCAACAGCTGTAAAAAAAAAATTCAGAAAACTAGCTTAAAACTTACATGTGCAAATTAAAATCCAAAGCCTAAAATGATCAAAGGCTAAATGTTATAACGGACAACAAAATCTAAAGCCAGTTAAACAGAAGATAAAACAGTAGCTAAATGATAAAACCAGCAGAACAGTAGGTTGAATTAACAACTTCAATAAAATAAGGGCTAAAAGCTAAAGTTAGAAAAAAAGCTAAAATTATCAAAAGCTCATGGCCTAAATTAGCAATAAAAATACAAAACTACAACCAGATGAACAAGTTAAAATCAGCAACAGAATAAAATTAATAAAAGCTAAAACCAGCAGAACAGTTCTTTAAAGCTAAAATAAGTAAAACGGTTGCTAAACTAAAAAAAAAAAAAAAAGGACAGTAGCTAAAAGCTAAAAATGTGACTGGTTGAAGTAGATTTAAAAAAGTGTTTTAAAGGATTAGAATAAATTGATGCCTTACTAAAGAGAAATAAAGGTAAATGTTTTAAAATAGTTTAGTTAGAAATAACAAAAGCGTCTGTCATCCTGAATGAGCTGATCATTTTGATGCCTGAGTGGCTGAAGTAGCTGAAAGTAGCCGAAGTAATAAACAGAAAAACAATAAATCCAGTTTATTTCAAACGGTGAATAAAACTCAACTTCCCATGAAAAATAAACGAGTTTATTTCTATTCTCAGTTTGTGTTTGAGACTTTCTGACAGTTTAATGAGGATCTTTTTTTAGTCGAGCAAAATTTCCTGTTTTTCTGAGTTTCACCAACCGACAGAGCCGACGGTTGATCTGATCCCAGAGCAGTTCGCCTCCTCTGGAGACTCGGCGTTCCACTCCAACGGTTCCTCGCGTTTTCACACTCTTCATAAAAACGTTCCCTGGTTTTATTGACAGGGAGCGACGACGAGCAGGAACCGCTCCAACCAGGTAAAACATTTAAAGGTAAAATGGGTTTTTAAAAATAAATATATTACACTAACACAACAACTTTTACTTGATTTTTACTGTAATAAATATTAATTACAATAAAAACAGCTAACTAGCTCTGAAGACTTTGTGTAAAACTTTAATATAATTAACTGTATTTTTAATTTGAACTTATTTACATGAGAAAAAACATTTTCTGTACATTTAAAAGGAAAATATACTTTGTAAATATATATTTATTACAACTATTTCTGTGTGAATTTTGGTTTAAAATGTTTTATAATATTTATACATGAAACGACTAATAATGATGAAATGTATTTTTCAAAAAGAAATGTGAATACTTTATTTTTTTTTAAATAAAACAAATAACATTTAAGGTTAAAAATTAAAAGCAACATCGGTAAGTTTGATGTAAACATATATTTGGTCTAGTTTTTTTTATTTAAAACCTGCTTGTATCAGGTATTTTTAAGGTACATAAATTATTAATAATTATTTTTGTCTCAAAAGAGCATTAAAGAAAATTTTTTAAATGATTAAAATTATGTTTTAAGAATTTTTATTTCAGTAGAACATTTGTTTTAATGGACTGAACTAACGGACCTCAATAAAAGTAAATACTGTAAATAAATAAAATAACAGTCCGTAGGAGACGGGCTGAAAACTAAACCTGAGGTCCATTTATATTTAGCGGTGGTCAACTCCTGTTTTTTCAGTAAGATGCTCATTTGTGTTTGTTTCTGCAAAAACTTCTGTATAAAATTAACCATAAGTAGAATAATTGACATTGAAAGTGTTTTGGTTCTCCCTCAATTAAAATAATGAAAAAAAAATCCTGGACTGAGTGCTCAACCTTGAGGAACCCCTTTCAACCGTCAGTTGGTTTGTCTCTGCTCTCTGAGAGTTTTACTCCAAAAACTTACATTTTATTACAAAAGATGAGTCTTAAAAGAGCGCTAAACTTTATTTTATCCTCAGGTCTGACAAGTCAAGTATTAACATCAAGTTCAAGTCAATTTTACTGTGATTCACAGCACATGTGGTACATGAGGTGGAACGAAATTATGTACTCGGTCCCAGTTACACCATCAATGTGACACTCAAACCCAGTTTTCAGCTCCTTCCATAATGTGTTCTGGTCACTATGATCTGAACTTTACTGCTGCCTTTGGCTCCAAATGACCCAAAAGTTCTTCACCTGAAGTCCCATGGATCGTTCTGTCCCGAGGGCAGCAGACGTGTCGATTCAATTACTTAAAGAACTTGTTTTAAATGTAAAGTCTCATGAAATCATCAGCCAGTCAACAAAGCAAGAGATCACTGTGTATTAAATATACTTGAAAACCTAATTTTACAATAAAACTTTTGTTTTTCTAGGATTTTCATGTGAATTTCTTAAAGTCAGAAAGAAGTCTTCATGATGGACTCAGTCCGGACCTTCATTGTTCTGCTTGGGTGAGTTTCCAACAGAAAGTGGCGAACTGCTCCTTTAAAGCCCTGATCTCTGTGTTTCACTGATGTTCCAACAATGTTCAGTCAGATCTTTGTGCTGAGACAGAACGGAGTTTCCACAAACTGATTGTTTGGTGGCTCCTCAAAGATGAAGCTCTTTGGATGGAGGCCGAAACACCTCAGCACAAAAATGAAACCATCCAGATGACCTGACTGAATATTGGTGGATTTTATACCTGGATTATTGAGCATGAACTTTGCTGTTTTACTTTAAGTTTTTCTCCTGTTGATGATGTTTGACCTTCTGCTGCTGAAGGTGTTGGGTCGTCAGCTCGTCGCCCAGCGGTCCGTCGCCCAGCGGTCAGTCGCCCAGCGGTCCGTCGCCCAGCGGTCAGTCGCCCAGCGGTCAGT